TTTATATACATATATACATATATTTTATATACGTTTCTTAATGTATCTATATGTTATATACAGTACCAGTTTCAGAAATTTCACTCTTTTCTATATCTTTCTTTTTATACATACATTTATCTCGTGCCATTGATACGATTCACCTTACATTTTACATCCAGAAATAACGAGAGCACTAAAAATTTTGTGCTGTTTTTCATAATTCCTTCTCTCTACATTCATTAAAGCGAATTTTAGCGGCTAGAAATTATTCTATTGTATTTGGCAAGAATATATTATATATATATTTAAGATGTATTAATAAAATGTATGAATTACATTTTTTATTGTCATGTTTTTATATAATCAATACAATTTTCTTTATTTTTTATTATAGCAAGATTTCATATACATGAACATTATAAATTATTTAACTATATAATTCCCAACAAAATTAAAAATTTCATAGTGAGTTTAACATAAAATGATCAACTCACTGGTCAAGAGCAGTTACAAAATTTTTTCAGGAATATAAGAAACTTTATTCTAAAGTATATTATTTGTGATAAATAGTGACGACGCGGACGAATCCGAGGACAAAAATCGCGATTGGAAGGATGAAAAGGAAGAAGTATGTGTAAAAATTGAAAAAACAGAAGATGAAAAAACTGAAGATACCGAGAAAAAGGTAGAAAATCCTGTCACTGTGGAAGATTTCACGACAAAAGAGACGAAAGAGGCATCTGAAAAAACTGACAAAGAAAACACGAAAACGACCGGCAAGAAATCGGAAGCCAGACACGCCGAGAGTCGTTACGCCGAAGTTCCGATGAGCCATATGTTTTGCCACATTTGCAACAAGCATATGTGGGACGGATTTGTATGCATTATGAACAAAGTTAACAAATCTGTATAACTATTTACCGTGTGTTATAATTATTGTATTTCTTTGCACAGTCCTTCGAAAATCATCTACGCGGACGTGCGCATCAGCTAATGATGGAAAAGTTGGACGAATCGTACAAATTGAAGGTCGATTTGATGAGACACGAATTGCGAGTTGCCGAGGAGCAGCGTGAACTTAGCTTAAACAACTCGAAACGGCGCGGCAAAAAAGTAAGAGAATCACATCTTTTAGAAAAATTGAACATAGATTTTTGATAGCAAACAATATTTCTGTATATATGTATACATAATGTTTTAATTACAGGTTTCTGTGGATTTCAATGTAAGAGAATATTGTACAATGTGCGATCTAAACTTTTATGGAACTTTATCTACACATAGAAAGAGCGAGAAACATCAGCAATTGAAGACATTCTTGCATCCTCGATGCTTCCCTTGTTTAAAAGAATTCCCATCTCGCATAGAATATGACGAACATTGTTTAACTCCCGCTCATATGAAAAATGCCGTTCAGTGTGAGGAACAACGAAAAAATAAGAAAAAAGGTAATGAAGGAAAGATAAAGAAAGGAAAAGTTAACTTGTTTTTATTAATTTAGTAAATTTTAGTTAACTATAATTAATTTTTAAGATAATTTTTAATTAGTAAAATATCTCTTTATAGAAAAACTGGCAAAGGGAGAAGCTGAAGTTCGCACTGCAGAAGATGAAGAGAAAGATGTTTGCCATGACACAAAGAACGAAAAAGAAGAAGATTTAGGAGAACAAGAATATATCACAGATATTACTGAAAATATAAATGAAAAGAAATTTAAAGTACCGTCTTATAAATATTGTCGTCAGAATCAGATCTTTGTCGGTATGGATTATAGAAAATTTAAAAAATTGTAATATTAATTTATATAAATTAAATGTGTGTTTTTTGTATTATTTCTACAAAGAAATTACATTACTCAGGTAAATCTATGGTCAAGGAGGTTCAAGGATTTTATTGCGAGCGTTGCCGAAGATTTATGCTCTTGGCAGAAGATATGAATGCTCATCTACGCAGCATTACTCACTATCGAAACTTCTTAGCAGAAGTAAAACTGTTAACATCGAATACAGCAGTTACAGAGTCAAAAGAAACTGAACAAATTGAGGTAAGTAACTTATAAAAAGAATCGTCGTGTGAAAGTAGCTTATTTTGAACATGGTTATATCGTGTTTGTAGAGTGAGAAAAACACCGTCGAAGTTAATGAGGAATGCGATGAAAATCGGAAACGTCGCAAGATCAGTCATGACGAAAATGAAGATAACGATAAGTCGAAGGAGTTGCAGGAGAATGATGCTGATAACGCAAACGCGGCACCAAAGAGATCAGATGGAGAGGAGAAGTATGATCCTTTAGAAGCCGATGCCGCCGAATCGGAGGAGGAAGAAAATCGCGAGGCGGAAGAAAAGGTGAAAGAGATTATCGCGGAAAATACTGCTAACGTACAGGAGAAAAAGACGCCGGTTGACGAAATGTGGGCGGACATAGACAATGACAACGATGTGGAAATGGGTAATTTGGTCGACGATGCAGACGAAAAAGAACATGCGCATGATCCGCATGATCATGAAAAGTCTATTCAGAAGATAGATCGAAATCACAGTCCTCAAATAAAATCTAGAGGCCGTGGATACGCACGCGGTCGTGGTGGTCCACGCGCTAGGAGGTCCCGGCGATAAGGTAATATTACGAATTAACGAAAGTGTAAGAGCAAACGCGCTAGAAAAATGCGTTGAAAAGAAAATTTCAATTATTTGTTTTGTGTGTTAAGATAAGTTTTAACGATACAAACATATAAAACACGTTTTTTATTGAAGCGTACCTCGTAATGTTCATGTAATATTACGCATAATCTTACATTTACAAACGTAAACACAAATATATATATAATAATATAAGATCTTATCTATAAGCGATTTATTTCGCTAGTATCGCGTATCAGGAAAGAAAACGCGCGAGAGATGTCAGAATTTTTGTACATGTATGGATTTTTAGCCATATACATTATACATATTACCTTTCTCCTAGATCTTGAAATCACCACTCTGATATGGCACTATTATGTATCAACGAAGCAAATTATTGGATATTGCATGTGATTACAATTATATTTAGAGAAAAGTGTATTTGTGTATACGATACCAAGAAATAGAATCTTGTATTAATGTAAATGAGAGAGAATTGATTGATATCGAAATTTAGTGTACATTTAATATAATGATATATGTAATCGAGGTACACGTAATGTTTAAATTTAGATTTTAATCACAGAAATATTCCCATGATTCCTACAATATCATTTTTTGATATAATTGATTCTCTAATGTGATAGAGAATTATAAAAATTCCCAAACACTTAATGCTCGTGAATATAGATAGATAGATAAGCTCCCCCTTTATTTCTTAGCAATTCAAATTTTTTTCAAGAATTGTGTGCTAATATATATCTTAAAATAATTCAAAAATTTTATGAATGTCTATATTATATTAAAAATGATTTATTGATATTTCATTAATATAAAAGAATCATTGGTAATTTTATTATATCATAAAAAAGAATTGTAAAAATATTAGAAGAATTATTATTATCGAATTAACTATTCTCTTTCAATTTCACATACATTAAAACATATAGCTGAATAATTGAAAATTATGTTAAGGATGATAACTATATATGTACAGGGTAGAAAATAATTATTTGCTAGGGATTCAAAGAAAAATGCAACGTGTGTAGGAATCCAAAACTTTAATACACAGGCTTACTTTTGTCGAATTCTATATCGTTTAACACTTGAATGTGGCGGAACATTTTGGATCGGTTCTGAAGAACGCAATCGAGACTCTGATACTTCAAGAAAGAGATAGCAACAGATATTCTCGAACAACTTTGCTTGCATACCTCCAAGATACTTTGTTTCAGAATTTAAGATTCTATCCCAAAAGAATAAGGGCTATAAGGGAAACTGGGAGAGGGATATTGACTACTGACACGTAAACTTATGTTAAATTAAGTTGTGGAGTTACCACACACGTTGCATTTTTCTCTGGATTCCTATATGTAGCTAATGATTATTTTCCACCCTATACATTTCCAATTTTATAATTTATCTTCCCATTGTAATCATTTTTTTTTAATAATATAAAAATGTTTTTCTTGACAAAAGAAAGTGATCAGTTGATCTATGCATTTCTTATCATATAAAAATAATACATTCACAAAACATATTTTTTTTTGCATCTATTTAACATGCACAAATTGTATTACAAATAAACTTTAAAAAAATTTTAAATAGAAAATTATTTATCAAGATTTAATACATATTAAAAATATGTACGATGCAAAAAGTAAGATGTCAACTGGTATAATGGTATAAAATGTGAAATTATGATATAAAGAGAGAGAATAATTATATATATATATATATGTGTGTGTATATGTAATATTCAAATTATATATATATATATATATATATATAAATGGATAGTACATTAAGAATTCAGTAGAAATATCATATTAATGCAATATATTTATTTCCTAATTTTATTAATCCTTAGAAAGATGGGTGGATAGAAATTCATCTACAGAGTCTGTGTCCCATTTATGTATATCTAGTATATCTTCAATTCTATTTTCCTCGTCATATAGCTTAATGATTGGATCTAAGCCTCTCACATATTTTATGCTGAGATTCTTGTATTTCTTTGGTCGATCACTTTTAATGAAGGCTGAAAAGAAAAATATACAATTATACAATTAATTTATATTAAATTTTATATTCCACCAAATATTTTTATGTTATCGAAAGCAATGAGAGATAATGCGGATACCCTGTATTTGCGGATATTGTCCAAATTTGCATGTGCATACTTCGAGGACGGCCTTAGGATAACGCTTCGATCCAGACAAATCATTGTCATTGTCTTTTAGACAACATTCCTTACATGTAGCACTAATAAAATGAAAAGAAAGGATATGACTTGTGGTTTAGATAATCCTGATAAAAAATTTAATAAAATAGATTTTTTTATACATACAGAATTTTTGCTAATTCGGGATCACTGAAGCGTTCACAGGTTGAGCAAAGCACATTGGCTTTGTTAAACCCCAATATCTTGCAATCGTCTGCTGTAAATTCTGCAGTGATAATGTCCATCTGTAAAATACATCATTAATGTTATTACAGTTCTCTATAAATGTCACAGCAAACAATTTATTCTTTGGTCTTATACTACGTTTAAAGTAATTGCTTTAATTATATGAAGAAAAGTGTGAATAAAAATAATATTTTTGAAATGAATAAAATTTAGAAAGAAAAGTTCAGAGTTGGAGCTTTTGTTCTGTATACAAAAGTTATATTTCCTGTTGCTTACCACAGAGATGAACAAGAATAAAATCGTGTATAATGAATAATTCATATTCGGCTACTCTTCTCGTTTCTCGTGTTTAATTATAGAAACAAACTAAAAAATTGATATACATACAATACACATCACACGAATATAAAAAGGTGAGGTGACAATATTTTGTACTGACGTGATACGTCTTGTGTTCAAGTCACAGACCATAGACTTGTTATGCACGGCTGTCTCGTATGGTGACATGTGAAACAAGGGCAGTCATTGGGTCTGTTCTTTATAGCTGAACTGGCTGCACTACTTCAGAGTTTATCTTTTTCTCTCCCCATTGGAAGGAGAAAGATAAGCTCTGAACTAGTGCAGCCAGTTCAGCTATAAAGAACAGACCTATTTACAATTGGCTGCCCTGGCTTCACCCTGTCATAGCTAGTTACAGCTAGCTGCCTAAGCTATAAGAATGGACCAAGTGTGAGACAGCGCGAGATCACGTGAGACGTGAGACTCGAATCGAAACTCAAAGTTTGAAGAATACATAGAGATTTAATAGAAGAATCACACATATTGTGTGTATCACGATATCATATAAGAAATATAAACGATAAGTAATAAATTTATTATATTTATATTTAATCGATTTTCTACGTTATGTATACACGTACGTATAAACGTTAATAAATGGCGAGAAACGTCTCTTACTTTATTCAATCGTTTATTTTATAACTTATTAAAAAAGTTTTTTTTTAAGTTTTTCATACTTTACATATATTCGACTATATATATATTTGAAAGAAATAGTTACAAATCCGTAAAATATTAATTATTTTTTGTAGATATATATATATATATAATAAAAAATTGATCTTAAACCTAATATCGAGGAAGAAAAGAACAGGAATAAGGCTGAATATACTAAAACATGTTTAATATAAAATTAACAATGTCAGCAAAAACATATAACCACTTGTGAATAAATAGAAGTTTTCCTTTATATATACAATAATTTCGCTCATACACGTGACTTTCTCTCTCTGCGTAATTTAATATGTCATTACTCTTATCATACTATATTTGTCAATTTTTTAAAATGTATAATGTATCGAGAAGGTATACATTATTCTTTCCTTACTTATTAAAATATCTTTCTATAGGTTTTTGTTAATATTATCACTAATGATTTGTAATTGTTGAATTTTTAAGAACAACTTATTAATTCACGCATTCTTTGTTAGTTTATTTCGATAACGAGAGAACTGCAAAAGATATATGTATATTTATTATATGCTATATATGAGTAAAATATAGTCAACGGTAATCAATACGCATCTTGGACTAGGTCGTCAATTAATCGAAACATTAGGAACACTGGGAGCATTCGCGACTTTCAATCTGTAAATTCACATTGCAGTATATTTTAAATGTTTCGTTGCAGAGATGACTGGGGAGAGAATCGATAACTATACCCCATGTTTAGTAGTGTTAAACATCAGGTTCATTTGATCCGTAAATTTATTTGCTTCACCCAAAGATCGCGCGCGCACATACGACCTTGTATCAGATTTAATATAACTAAAAATATTTCATCGATAAACACACATGAAATTTAATTACTGACCTATTATAAGTGGAATGATTTCGCGTGGAAATATTCATCACGTGCCGTTGATGAATTAATGAATTAATCACTCGTTAACTAATAATTAATGAAAGAGAAAATATTAATCTGCGCGCGATCATAATATTTGCATATATTTACATATTATGTACACAACGCCTGTTATTAAAGAGGACTCTCAAAGGAGGTATTGAAAACTTATTATAATTTCGCTGAGATCAAATTTGTATACTACAGAAACACGCGATAATAAAATACTTAATCACTCAAATACATTAAGTGAGACATAAGATCTTTTCTCGCATATACAAACTGAACTCATTGAAATATTATTGTTTTAATCTTTGATTCAAAGCACACGTGATTTCACGATCATGTTTCTCCAAGTGAGAAGATCGCACGTTTATCTTCTGCGAATAAGTCTGCTAAAATATGCTATGCTTAATGTACATTATAATTACGTAATCGTAATATATCATTCTTGGTCGCTATTTACTTTTAGACCTTTATGCTCATCTGCATTATTTTATTTAAAAAAAAAAGTCATTACACGAGGTTGTTGTATGTGATCTACTGAGGGAGAAAATACGTGAATTAGAAAGAATTTACTTTACAAAATTACATAAATTCTTAGTCTTTAAATTGGAATCTGACTCTTTGTATTAAGTATAAAAATTTTGTAATCGATATACGATTCCGAGGATTAAGAAAACTTATTTTTGACTTTGCACAAAAAATTCATTTTTCGATTCGTTTCGTCTACTGATACTTCCCAGAAAAAATGAATATTTCTCAATCCATTTCAATTTGTTCATTTTTATAGAGTCTTCTTCGATTATGAAGGAATAGCATGCTAGATTCTGTGAGAGCAATTACGAGTCGACACACGATATTCAATTTCGACGAATAATATAATCGTCGGTCGTCAACAATACCGAAATTCGCGTCTTGAATACTATAATACCACGTTGTGAATATTTTAATAATTTAACATCACAAATTGAGTCACGCATCTGCATTTAGCATTCGTTTTCTTGTTCTCTAACCCAGTCCTAAAACGTACTTTGGTAGATTGTACGCAAACCTGGGGATGGCCATCACCACGGACATTCTGCAATTCCAAAAAATTTTATTTATGATATGTTCACATGTATTGTTATATCTTAACTGCCAAGTTTGATAAAGATGAGGGATATTATTTCTCGCGTATCAATAAACAAACATGAACAAACTCATCTTCTCCGAATGAAAACGAATAATGATTTTTATTGCATGTATGAGAGGGGGAAGGGGGGGGGAGAGGGAGAGGGAGAGGGAGAGAGAGAGAGAGAGGGAGAGAGAGAGAGAGAGAGAAGCAATAACAGATTCTCCTCCCATTTAAATTTTTTTCAAGAATGCACGGATTGCTGTGCAAATTAAATTTCTAGAATTTTGTTTTGAATATATACATATGATTATAGTGTAGATAGAAAATAGATCGGTGCAACTCATAAGTATTAGCATATGTTGCACGAAGCAATCAGTCTAAATAGATTAAAATATTTATAATATCGTAACTTGGCAACTAACAATAAGAAAGCATTAAGATGAAGTAAAAAACCAGCCGCATAAAAAATTGTATTTATTTAATTAATGTTGCGATTAGCTATGATTAATTTCGCCAACATTTTCGTTATATATGAGTTTGTTCAATATTAATTGGCTTATATATTAACTAATTAAATAATTAGTTAATTTAATTGAAGAAAGCTATTGAGAGCAGACTCTATTCATCAGAACTTTTAATATAATGTTATGTATATATATTTAGATTATATATTAAAAATTATTAATAAAATATTAGTAAAATTTATTTTTACACGCGGGAGAATAATTCGTCAAATGTTTCTTTTAACATGCTCACAAAATAGCTCCCAATTTTAAAAAATATTAAAAATATTATAGTTACACATTGTGCAGTAATGTGCTCTAATAATTGCGAAAATTATGCAGCTAGTTCAATTAGATATATATAAAGTTTATTCGCATTTAATATTTTTATATTCGTGCTACTTACTATAGTGCGCGAGGAGAGAATCAACCATCGGCTGTTACGTTCCACCACCATAAACAAGATTACCGACTCTACTTTTAGATATGTACAAGTAACTTGGTATTTTCGATGAAGTAAAGCCGGCTCAAGTATTGTTGCGATGCGCTTGGCAAATTAAGTGCGCCTAAGAAAAGCTTATACATTTTTACGCATTGCGTGAAACAACTTGCGCATTTGTTAGGATGCGCTTTTGCGCGATGCTGAAATTAATTCAAATGATTAAAAGGTATCTACAGCAGTATTTACAGTAAATTGGTCAATTGATGGGACCCAACACCGTGTTTCATATTGTTTATTTTATTTAAAAAATTTTCGTGTTAGAGAAGGATATATTTAGAGAGCGTATATTTTCTGACAAGGCACGTAGTTAAAATTACGTAGTATAGTATCTTGATCTCTCTTCATCTAGAGAGCATTTGTTCCTGTTTTTTTTTTTTTAATTTTAATGCAGACATTCGAAGGAGCTCGCATAAAAAAAAAACGATTGCTTTCAATTATGAGGCAATATGTTTCGCGAAGAACCCTCTGAAACACACGCGAAGAATCGATATTCTTTTTTTATTAGTGCTTCTTCTCATCATTGAAGATATTAGTGTTTTCAATCTTTCATGCAAGTGTTACGAAATGATACATATATTTACATTTGATTATAGAAAGCTCATTCGAGTGTGATGCATACATATATACGTGCATTCTAAACGAAGCAATATTAATGATGCTTCGGTGCTATCGAATGGAACCTGTCGGTATTTTCTTTGTTTCTACGAGAGCTGAGTAGAGCTTGAGTAGAGAAGATTTACAGCTTACTAAATATATATTATTAATCTATTATTAGTCTCTCTTTTTGCGTATATTCTAAAATTTAGCGCCTATAAATTCTTATATACTAATAAGCGAAAAAGAAGGTGAGAGACATTGCGCGAAATAATATATTGTCTACAGCAACCTTGTTTTTCTTTTGATGATTTAATAAAATACAAGCAAATGGAACACAAGCAATTCAACTTCAATAATATTGATCAATAATAATATTTTTTTCAATTTTTTGCAAGAAATATTTGCAAAATAAAAACAATTTTATCTTCAGAGATATAATAACTATTCCGTCCGATAATATGGCATAATTAATTTTATTTTTCTTATAAATATTTAACGCAATAATATATATTTTTTAATATTATAATAATATTACGTTGTGAGTTTTTTTTCAACTGAATATAGCGAAAGTAATTAAATTCAAATTGATCGATCTTTTCATACTTGTACAGCTTTAGCTGCATATATGTTTTGTTTTTTGCAGTTATTTTTAACAAACTATAATTAAAATATTATGAAAAAATTGAATAATACTATAGATAGAAATTTTTTATTTATTTTATCGAATGCGTATAAAAATAATTTATTATATCTAAATCACACACATATATTAATCATGTTTCCAAATTTATAGGACATCAAATTAATCAGCAGGTGACGCGTTTCTACATATTATACGCTTACTTAATATGTGTATACATATATGCTATAGTATATCAATAATATATGAATATATCGATTTATATTAATTGAGCAGCTTGTATATATTTCCTCTTTTTCCTCACAATTCAAGATCAGACTTTAGTTATTAATCTCTATATATTGTTAATGTTTCTCTGTGATTCGTTAACACATCAGTTAAGCTGGGTTATTTGTGCTACTATTAACATTCGATTAATATATTTCAAGCGATTTTTATTAAACCAACTGCAAACTTTTTGTTAGAATGTGCCTTTGTGTTATCATGAGTCATCGTTGTTTCTTCGACTTTTCAATATTGCTTTAAATTTGTTCGCTTAAAATTAGAATTACTAGCAACGAACGCATACAAAATAAAAATGAACAGTTGCAATTGAATAAAACTACGCGTTCGAGATACGCAAGTTTTTTTTAGAATAAGTAACAAAAAAAAAAGAGAAATATTTGATTTAAAATCAGTTCAATTAAAAAAACTGTTAACTATGGATCATTGTCATATCAATATTTTCGAAATATTAATCGCGACGTATTTTTATACGGAATAATTGATTAATTAACTTCATTAGTCTCAATATTGCCGGAATAGAGTTGGATCCACAAGTCTTTTACATACGATAATGCGAGTCCTTTATAGATCCACGCTCGCCAGCCCGTTCTAGTCTCGATGTCGATCCTCGCTTCTAAGCTCTGGCATAACGCTTTCCGGTCATGGCTTCTTCCGCTGCGCAGATCACAGAGCAATCTCTTGCGACATTCGTCATTGCACGCCGGTCGCACCGGAGAATTCTTATAGTAATGCCTATAAAAATTGAAAGCAAACACGTCGCATTATTTTCGGAGCAATATCGAATCTCTTATTTTTCTTCATCAATTTGCCATTAAATATCTTCATTCATTAAAATCAATCAATTTAAAAATAAGAGCACATATTTTCGTATAATAATAAATTTCTTAATATATCATGTATGATATGTGACTTATAGACTTTCAATCTTTTGATTAAAAAAAATATTTGTTCCTTTTTACAAAAAAGTATAGTGTACATATACATTATCATATTATGCGGATATAATTACTTGTAATAGAGATCAAAGAGGGCTGGTTCGTTGGTCATTTTGTCGATCAGGGAGTCCCAGTCCTTCGGCAAGAGCGATGCCATTTGGTAGGCTTGTCGTGCGCTATACAACTTATGCCAGATGGGATAATCGTAAAGATTCGCTTCCTTGAGATTCATGACCCAGCTCTCGTGATCGATGACCATCTAGAAAACGCACGTTAATTCGGAAATAATAGATAACGCCTTTAAGGGAGAAGGAATATGCAGACTGTTCGGCCAAACTTTACCAGCGTATTTTATTAATTATACTAATGAGAAAAAGTGTCATTTCACTTACTCTTGTAGTTTTTGGATGATCTCCATCGACGTAATATATTCTGTAGCCGGGATTCAGATCATAATACGGCGAGACTGAAGGACCAACGTAGGCGATACTGAGCGCTCTGCCAAGATCCGATGTATCATAGAATATCTGGAACTCGTCGTAATGCGTATGTCCGAAGAACTGGGCCGTGATTGTTGATTCATAGCTAAATAAAAATAGAGGAAGGACATTTGTTACACAATGCATTAGCTCGATATCAATTTAGAGTATAATAGTAATTTAAACAATCAAGTACCAACCGGTTGATGATGTGATAGTAATTTCTCGACCACACTTTGAGACAGTCCGAGTGTCCAGGTGGGATATGGCCAATTATGTGCACCTTCTCACCATTGATCTCGGCACCTTGCAACTCGTACACGAGCCATTGTAGCTCGCTAACTGGGTCCGTGCTGTTGATCAGCAGCCACCAGTTTTTGTTGTTGCAATAATTCATGTTAACAGAAAGAATTCTGAAACCTGGTCGAACCAGAACGGAATAGAAGGCACCGCGACGAACGGTGTGCGATACACCGGCTGGTAGCCAGCGTCGCCATTGTTTATCGAGATCGTCATACAGCCATGAGATACTGTTTTCTTCAGGCACAAAGGGTGGTGGAAAACTAAAAAACAGGATTGTTTTAATGCATTATTCATCTTAGAAGGAATTTGATTCCAGAAAAATGTTAAAAATATATTTTTAACACAGAAAGCAATATTAAAATGTAATAGAAATCTTTGTATTAATGCTCTCTCTCTCTGTCGTATACGTCTCTAAAATAATTTTCTAAAGTTATTAATTTAATTGATCAGATAGGAAAATTTTCATGAAAGCTTAATCGATCTTTTCCCTATCTGTTTCTCTTGTGTACTCTATTCTATTATATTAATTTTTTTTAAATCTTGGAATATCTGTAATATGTAAAATAAAGTTTTTTAGAAAAAGAAAGTTTTTTAAAAGCAAATATAATGTGTGTGTGTGTGTGTGTGTGTATATGTGTTATTTTCGAATAAATATGAGTAACTACGTTATACATAAATCGTATGTGAAAGAATATTTTCTAGAAAAGTGAAAGTGATGTGAAGTGATTCCGAGATGTGAGATGGAGGCGAGTTTATATAGCGGATATACCTGTTGACCGGCGCGCTTTCATGATTTCCTAAGGCAGGAAAGATCGGTATTCCGGGGAACATCTCTACCATTTGCGCGACCGTGTTACGCAATACCTTTAGATTTTCTTCTCGCGTTTGATTCCACACATCGTGGGGCGGCAAATCACCCGTCCACAAGATGTAATCAATATCCTGAAAATGTTTTAAATCACGACGAAAAATTATTCTTCTTCCTCCCATCCCCTGTCCGTTTTATATCAACAGCGATTAATTTTTCTACTTGCAAAAATCATATCACATCTTATTTATTATACTTGATATAAATAATTTTTTTTTTTTTTCATCGACCGGAACACGTTAAAATTTTTTTATGCGCGGCAAGTAAGATTTACTCCAGAAGAATAAACGTCTCGTCATCTTTCTCTGTCAGTTTCACGCGGCGACAGTTTAATTAATTAATACCTCGGGCGTGTTACTCACCAAATGCGTATCGGCAATGTGCTTGAGCATATGGTCGATTGTTCTCTTGGGTGTATCGCATTTTCTGTAATCGCCCCATCGTCCGGCGGCGGCCGAGGCCGTCAAAGGGGCACCGTTTGTCAGCCGACAGCAGAGCCGTTCATTGCACTCGGCGTTCGCACCCTCCTGATAATACGGATCATAATGCGTGTCGGAGATATGCAGCACCTTGAAGGTCGGCGCGCCTTCCTGCGGCGGTATCGGCGGTTTAATCGGCGGTTTCTTGACCGGTGGAAAGGCCACCTCCCATTCATGTAGCGGATTAAACGCGTCGTCGCACGCATCGCCGATCACGAAACTGCAAATTTGCGCTGGACCCATAGTCACCTGTTTCAATACGTAGATCACCTCCCCCTACATAGATTTATTTTAATTTTTGTTAATTTTATATATACATGTATATAATACACACAAATACATACAAATAAATGTAAATCTATTAAAGTTTACCCCAAAAAGCAAAGTGACTCCGTGACAGACTCGAGCGCTCTGTATGTTAAGCGACACACAGAATTGATAAATGCTGGCCATGATCTCCTCATCGCTCTTGCCGACTTTTATATAATGTTGCAGCAGGCCGGCACCTACTTTGCACGCGGTGCAAGATACTTTGGACATTACGGAGGTTTCAACCTCCATCATGACCTGCCTCAGATCTAGCAGTTTAAGAGCCTTGTCAACGAATCCGGATAGATGTCCACTCGGCTGAACGGTTTCCATATCCCATAGCATCCGCGAGTAATTTAACTAAAATTAGATATACATGATTACGATAAATTTATATATGATATAACGTCTCAAGTGTGTAAAGTTGTTGGTAAAATGATAAAATGAAAAAATAGTTGTTATTCTATATATAATGTACAATAATAATCGTGTTATTCAAACTTTATTGCATTGTACCATAATTTTGATTATTTTGCTTGGTTTTGTATCTAAGTTTTCCATATTATTTAATTTTCCAATTATTATATAGAAAATATTTATGAATTCTTCTCTTGCAACTATATACATTCAGAGATATAATTTATTTTCTATTGCAATATATAAATTGATACAAATGATAACGAAAAGAATCGATAAATACGATTGAGATTGTGCAATTTTGCGATTTTTTTACTATTGTTTTCAGCAGCTTATATGATAAAAATCAGTTTCGATTCATCATCGAATTAGATATTTGAATAATAATGTGTGGGTGGCGTTTCAGTTTAAGTCCCAATAATTATATGAAGGAAGGCACGAAAACGAGAAGAAAATTAATCGATGTATGCGTGTTTTCGCGTCTATCTTAATATATCACGAAACAGCTCGAATTAAGTGAAAATTAAGTGAATTTCTTCGTGTCGCTTTCTGCGTGCCTTTGATCGTGCAACTTTCCTTCTTGGATCGTGATCCCGAGATAATCGAGCGTGCACCTTTTCCGAGATCGAAGGGAGCACCGCGACGTGGATATGTCTACCGGTGATTTCTTTTACGCAAGCGATGACGAATTATATCGATGATCGTGGGCGACTTTCGCGGGCGAAAGTCATTGACACCACATTATATACGATGTGTATGCGTATAAGCAGACGCGAATAGGAAGGATAGAAGGTACATACTTGCATTCACCATACCCCATACGGTGTCTGTCAATGGTCGCGTTGGTGAAAGTATTTTGGCACTGAAAGTGAGAGCCGCAGCGACATCGACGTCCCTCCCGTTCAGTAAGACAAAGAGAGGAAAAGAAAAGAGAAGAAGGCGAGGTCGCGAAAAAATACCAAACAATATTCACGACAATTTCGAAATTTGCACGACGAGTTGCGTCTTGCGTCTTTTCGCGCAATTCGCTTAGAAGATTTTTACGTGTACTTTTAGCAATATACATATATTTTAGGCCAACCAAACATCATAGTTTTATCTACGAATTTAACGATTTCTCGATGGAGTAATTCTTGACGCGTATTAATTACACAATTGGCACACATCAATACTTGCGGTTGATTAATGTTCTTCTAAACTAATTTTATTCATCAAGAGGAAACGCGCTGATTAAAATTTCATATGTGGACGCAGAAGTGAAAACGCATCGATTAGAAGATCAATTTCCCGTTTCTTATCATAAAGCAAAGCGAACGCGAACGAATAATGTAGAAAGTTTTTCACGGTCTTTTCTCATTTCACGATCATTGATTTTACCGGTTTATTCGTGCGATAATAATTCCATAGAATAATAAGTTTCACAGGTTTATGTTTACGGAAGAAGCTTGAGTCGATAGATGCTACTTTTTTCATTAATCGAGTGTGTCGAGTGCGTTTTCAACGGTCTGATTGCGTCCGACATGTAACTACTGTCACGCAAAGTAAAAACAGATCGAACAATGTAAACTGTATTGATATTAATCGTCGAGCTTATGTAACGAAATTGTATATAGGCGGTAAAGATGTACAAAGTGTTTAGCAACTATATTGTGTTATTTTTATCATTTTCTAGAATTTTTCAAAAATATTTTTAAATATAAAATGTCTTAAAATTATCCCAACGCAACTATATAGAATATCTGCAAGATGCAATTTATGACGTATTATTGATACAAGATTTTATGTCATCTTACACATTAAAAACGATTCAATTTTTCATAGTGTTGATATATCAGAGGAAATTTCTCTCTAATTGTGTGTGTTTTATACAATTGACAGTGACAGTGCAGATTTTTGACTAACAATAACATAGATGTCTTTTTGCTCATGCTCCGAGGATGCAATCGCAAACAAAAAATATTACCCGTGCCATCTGTTCAGGGTTCGTGCCGTTAACAACAAAGGTCTCCACCGTAGGCGGTAGTTCCCGGAATCTCTCGTTGAACGGCAGCAGAGCGACGTCCATCTTTTCGGCGGCCCTGGCCTTCGCTGCGATCCATTCGTCGGCCAGCGCGGTCCAGTTGGTGGACGCTATCTCCGCTTCCCGTCTCGTCCTGTACCGAATGGGATTTCCTGCGAAAACCGGAAAAGCGGTTCATCTAATTAAGCCGCGGCCGGAAGATGCGACAATTCTCGCTTTTGACCAATTGTTCCACAAGTTGCGCAATCCCATTCTCGCAAGTTAATTTTGCAATTCGTGTGAAGCACCCCGTTATGCGCGAAAACGTTTCTCGCGGGAAGTGCCTGAAATTTACGTATTTTACGAAACGAGCTTAACGACACGAATAATTGCAAATTTGTTTGAGTGCGATGGCGCGAGATTAATACCTTCTCTCTTATTGTTAGATACCTTGCGATTAATGATGTACCATGACTTTGATCTACAACATAGATATGGCATATATCATATTATACATATATTATTTTATTCATAAAAATATATTTAATCGAAAATGTAAAATATAATGTAAAGAAATGTGTAAAAAAAAAACGTGAACGTAGCGAGACGTCTTCCACGGAAAAAATAAGATTTCCGCAGATTAAATTACTCGTGGCAAATTGAGATGAAATTGATTGTATATTTGGCAGTAAAAAGATAAGAATCTTTTCTCCGGACAATGCGTGATATTGGATACTTTCTAATACGGGCGATATAAAAATAAATGAACAATTGCGCGGTATGGATCGTTTCATGCGCGGAAGGAAACGTTCATTTTTCACGCTGCGATTAATCGTAAACGATTAATTACAATCTTGAAGGTTGCTTCGATAAAGTATGCCGATTTTTCCCATGTGAAGCACGGAAAGTATTATACTGCACAGCGTATCTTACCTTGAAGACGTACATTTTTTCCGTTACGCTCGAAATAGCTGGTGACTCGATGTTCAAGAGAAGTCGTATAATTTCCCATGAATATAATCGATCGAATCGCATGCAACTCTTAAGTACTTTCTCGGCAAAAAGAGGTTACGAGATTGCGCGCAGCAAGTCGCGTTCTGTTTTTTCGACTTGAATCGCCAAAGTCGTAAAATTTATATCGTAAAATTCAGTCAATTTTTTTATCGCGTATAATCCTCTCTCTTATATATATTATATAAACTCTAATATACACAATCAGATTTATTATCCACTTTTGTTGCGCAATTTATTTGCGCTCTTTGTTCTGTTATTCGGATTACGCGCACAAATAAGTTTCATTGAAGTTTTTATCAAATAATGTTATTAAAATGTGGTTTCAAAAAGCTAATTAGAATTGATATATTTTCTCTATGTTTAATAAAACTGTATGGTACATATATTTTAAAATATACATACCGATAACAATCCATATCGAACTGGAGAAAAAAACGCATAACAGGAAGATGAAACTTGACGATATCCTGCTTTGACTACGCATACTATTTTGCACTCTTTGGTATCGTTATCTGTAATTATAAAAAATAAAAATGTATAAATATTACTGAAATATATTATGTTTTAATTATTTAAGAAAATTGATTATATATGCGAGAATATATAAAGGAAAAGGAAGGCAAGAAAAGGATCGATAGAAATAAAATGAACAAGTATAACAGGAATCGATTTTATTTTTTATATACATTTATGAGCGATATATATCGAAAAAAAATCGGTCAAGCAAGGAAGCAAGAAAGAAAGGAAAAAAGAAACAAACAAGGAAAACGAGTTGAATTATAAATCTCCGAGCAATTTTATAGCAAGAGCACGCGCAAAAGTCTATCACATCTGAAAACTGCGATTAATCGTTCGGCGGACATATCCGTGAAAGGTGTACGCAATTACTGGAGAAAGAATTTGCATTAGACGGAGCGTAACTTGCACTTTCCTCGACGGTAAACGAGGCGTCGAGAATCGCGTCGTCGCGTCGCGACGCGGATCGAACAAGTTTTTTGAAATTGACAGCCGCGCTTTTACAGTCGCGAGGGTGCGCTTTATTTTTTCCTTCGCAATCAATTTGTTTTTCAATCGAGAGCAACGTAAGAGAAAGGTGCGCGAAAAGAATAAGCAGCGATTAATTTTTCTCCGACAATATATGTGTCCGATCGGTGTCACTGTTACAACACTAGAAATTTTTGGGCATGTGCCGTCCCGCCCGTTACTGTTACTCTTAAGTGGGTTATTCAATGGCACGAAGACGCTATATACTCGACGCCTTTTGAATGCGTGAGAAATAATAACGATCTTCGCCTGGATTGACGGAATGTGTCGCATTGCGTCCAAGTTATAACGGAACTCGTTCGATTCTTCGAGCAAGAATTCGTTTACGGTGTTAGCGGATTCTACGCCGGTAACGGAAGTTTCTTCTCGAAACGATTGAGATATTTTTGCGGGTAAAAATCTAAAACAAATCATTTGCATTTACTTCAAGATTTTTAATTTTGTCATTAAACACGTTGATATATGTATAAATACGCGTATATTATATTATTAACAAAAATAGATATAATTATTTAATTATATTTGTTTCCCATTTATTTTTCATATGTATTTTGTATTATTTATTATTGTGCAATCAAATGGGTAAGAGAAGAAGAATATGGAAGAAATAAAACTGGATTAATTTATTCTTTTCCCACGAAGTCTCGATTGGTAAATAGCGCCGGGCAATATGACAGATGATACGTAATTCATCGAGGGATTTATCGAGCAATTTATCATAAACAGGTCACGCGATTTTATGAATCACTGAGATTTTATTATTCAAAACTGGGATCGTATTTGAAGCAGCTGAAACGGAAATGAGTTGCAGCCGACTGGGACGTTTAGAATAAATTACGCGGCATGAGTTATATATATACCGTACTAGCACGCAGACGATGCACGTGCGTGTCAAGGCTACACGTGTCATTCTGAGCGTGAGATGTATCTTGGCTCGATGCCTACAGCATCTGTACTTCTCTCTATGGCTTGTCATTTTTTCTCTTTCTCTCTTACAGAATTATATCTCAAGTGTAAAAGGATCTATATAAAATATAACATATTAATTTCATGAAACAAAAAGTCGCAGCTATAAAAATTAAAAAAAAAAAAACACTTTTTAAATATCCTATAATAAAAAGAGTACCCGAAACGTTAAATATACTATTTCATCATTTATACGTATAATAATAATAACTATATTATGTTATTACATATATGTATATATACCCAGTAAGCAATTTGATAACAAATTGTTGCCAAATTGGCATCAAATTCGCTCAAAACTTGGTAACAAATCCAGTGCCATCTGTGTCCGCATTAAGCTTGTGTTTTGGTGACAAAGCTTGCTGACATAACCTGAGAGCAAATTGACGGCAAAAACCGAGCAGAGCTTGACATGATTTGACGTCAAATTAGTGGCAAAAATTGAGCAAGATCTGCGCAGGACAATCTGACAGCAGATTGTCAGCAAAAACCGAACAAATTCTGCAGCTTTTGGCCATTCATATAAAATAGTATATTTAAATGGATTTAAAGTCTCAACCCTAAGTAATAAAATGATGATAAGTTTTGGTCATAAAATGACCATTAGATAATTAGACATCTTAAGTTAGGTCTCATAAGACCCAAAATATATCACATCTACGGGAGACCATTTTTTGACGTTCTTTTGATGGCAAAAATAAGAAACACAATATACAAATTACAGTATTGTTATATAAAATCATATATTAATGTTTTAAAACGTATAAGTAAATTTAAATAATTTAATTTACAAAATTAAAGATCTTTTTGGACAGAAATTGTTCGAATAAGTGAAAATCGAACAATTATCTGTCCGATTTGCCAAAAATCAGTTCAATATCTGAATTTCTTGTATAAGAATTGTGTCAAAAATTGAACTGATAGAAATATATATATTATAATATTATTAGCGTTTTGCAGGCTTTATATTCACTCATGACAAGAATTTGAATACGGGTATAGATAATGAATAACGCGCCGCATAGCGATAAGCAACTGAACTATTTTATAATATTTTGTCACAAGCTGCAAATTCTGTTCGGTTTTTGCTGCCAATTTGCCATCAGATTGCGCACTCCAGATCTTGCTCAGTTTTTGCTGACAATCTGATGTCAGTCATGTCAGCAAGCTTTGCTCGGTTTCTGCCGCCAATTTGCTGTCTATTTATGTTAGCAAGCTTTGCTTGGTTCTTGCCGGCAATCTGCCAGCTTAATCGGTAATAACAACTCTTGCACCAAATTTGTAGCCTTTTTGCTGACAATAATTTGTAGCAAGCACTTGGCAATATCTGTTAGAACAGACGTGGCTGACTGGGTATATATATAGTAATTGAATATCCTTGTCTTAATAATAACAATAACAAATTATAGATATAATTTACAATTGTGTTACTTCCACGATAAGAAAGTTAGAAATATAGATCAAAGTATGTCCTGTCACTTTATATTTCAATCTTACTCTATAGTTTGTCACGTTTCTTTGTAATTTCAATTAAGTTTCACGAAGCGCGTAGTAATTTTGTACTCCAATCTATTAAATTGGCGGTTGCGTTAGTTTAGTAGAATTGCATATGCATCCAACGCGTGAAGAGAGCGCGCTTCCGGATATCCCCGCTTTCTGTCTTATCTGTTTTTCTATTTTATATCTTTCCCGCCTGATTACCGACTACCGAAGTGACGATAAAAAGATGGTTGATTTTAACAGTCGTTTAATATTCACACACGACTAAAGATATGATTCGCTTGATAAAACGTTCTACTAAAATGAATTAATCCTTATTTCGAAAATTTCTAAAAACAGATATTACAAGATTCGATTTTTATAATATATTGCCAATTTACGAATTTTAGTACTTTTATTCTATGGCGTTGCGATAATAAAGTACATTCGATTTCTGATTGTTATATTTCCTCTGATCGATAAATTCAACAACTGTCATCGAAAGAATGCGATGTACATATGTATATATGTCAAGTTGGAAATTTCTTCTTTCAAATTATTCTGTCTTTAAATTGAAAATTTCCGTAAAAACGATTCTCAAATCTCCGTTCGTGATAAAATCGCGAGTCGACGCGGTAAATCGAGGTGCGAGCTGACCGGCCAAGTGGAATACGCGGCTGACCGTTATCTGACCCACCGTGAGGTCCAACGAAAGAAGACTCACTTAAGCTCATCGTGCACAAAATGTACTTACGTAAGTGCATTGGTATAACATAAGCGTTTAAATTGACAGAGACAAAAAATCTAGAAAAAATTTCGTAGAGCAATATGATTATTTATATTGAATGTGTCTTTTGTGTGTCTTATTTATTCGCGCGTTTATATTCTATGTATGTGTGCTTGTACAGCAATTTGCATTTGTGTGTGTCTGTGCAACGGTCTTGACTTGTTGCAACATTGAGACGCGTTGATCGAAGGTATTTTTCAATTCGACACTGACCTGTATCTTTTAGTATTCAAGCTTCGTACGACAGCGAAATGGTCGCGTTACGGTACGTCATTAATTTGAATCCTCGTCTCAGTGCGAGTTAAGCGAAATTCTTCCACGCTAATTGCGCGATAGCAAAACCGGTCCGTCGAGTTGGATGCGATCCGCCGCTTTTCGCATGATTCGTTACAATGAACAGGCTACTCTCCCGAGGCGTAACTTCACTGCATCGTTCTTGTTAAGAGATACATATATAAATGTAAGATATCTAATTCCCGAATATAATTTCACGTAGAAAGCTATAGAAAAACTTTTGACCGCCTTTCTCTGAAAATATTCAAAATATCATTTAACACACATTTATATATACGTCATTAGCCGAATAAAGAAAATAAATATGATAAGCGATTAATCGAATTTTTAGAGTTTTTAAAATTAGTCATAAATAGGTAGCGAATGGATTTGATTAAGAACCGGTCATATTCGGGCCAAGCAGTTTATATATATATATATATAATGTGCATATGTAATATGTAGAGCTTTATATCTTATACTGGTATGAAACTATTAGTATATGTATGTCATGAAAATATATGTTGAAAATTGATTTTGACGAAATAAAAAGAGTTGTCTAAATAATTGGGAAAATTATTGGTATACTTCTTTAATTAATTTTGTCCATTTAGATAAATACTCAAATATCTTAATCAGCATCTCTTTAGCCTCATCTGTCTACTTCCGGTGATTCCGCGTTACTTCCTCAAAATATACAGTTGCGAGACAGAAGACGGCACGGTGATTAGTATCGTTGATATGAACGCGTTTCCTGCATCTTTTCTCCGCAATGCTAATGATCGCCAATAAAGCGACCTTCCTCGCTGCTCAATGTTAACGTCAAACGAAAGTCACTATCGCCAACGAACACGCGCGTGAATGTGCAGAGCACTGGATACACACAGCAAGCGTAATAGCCTCGTAATTTTCTCTCGCGAGAGGCATAAATGGCATACTCGATCAGACGATTGGAGTTTAGGG